AGTTTGTTGGCCAACAATTTCATACAAGTTCACATAAAAACTCACCTGCTACCGACGTGGTCAAAACGAAGACAGAGACCTGTTTATGTTCGCACTTTGATGGTGAAACATTCTACAAAAAAGGAAAGAAAAGAAAGAAAGATCTTTTTTACTGTATTCGGATTTACAGTAAATGAAAAATACTGTATTTTAATGGCGCCAAGAGGATATTTCCCATAATGCAATTTTAAAATACAGTAACATACTGTGTAACTGTTTTACAGTAAAGTACAGTTCATATTACAGTTAAATACTGTGTAATTTACAGAAATCGCTAACAGTGTACTTATTCAGGGCGTATTTGCAGATTTATTGAGCTCTGAAGTAAAAAAGACTAACCAAAAGAAAAATAGCTTTTTTTCAGACAAACAACAGACCTCAGAACTCTCAATCGGATTGAAAGGTGTGTGAATATTCAAACAGCTTGTTTTCTTTTGCAGTTGCAGTTGCAGCAGAGCAGAGCGAACAGCAAAAGTACTGAGTCATGAACAGAAGGGAAGTGTTTTGAGCGTCTGCTGGCGTTGAATGCAGTTGCAGTGATCTGCTGCCCGTAAAAGGGCACCCCAATGCTGAACAGGACTGTTGCATCACTATTCTAGCCATTGATTTTCTCATATCGACATCTGCTCTGCGTCACACTCAGATAAATGATGTAGAGCGCATGCTGCCAATGTTTGTCTAAATTGGTTCCCTCCTCGCACATCTAGTCTATAATTGTCATTAAATATTTTTAGATATAGACCTACAGTGACTTGTCGCGGAGGAGCAGAGAAATTTGGATGTACCTTCTGTTCTCTTTTTCAAGACTGCAACAGCTTCTAATTATAATTTGGCTTTCAGTTTGCTTCTTTTTTACTGTTTGTTTGCTTGTTTTGTATCAATGCACAGTTTTATAAAGTAGCTCTTAATGGGGAATAATTAGGAAATGGTTTGTTTGTATGATTTGTATAAAAACATACTTTATGTAATCAACACAATGACTGCCATTGTTGTGTAATTAGATTTTACAAGGTGCTATAGTTTCCCACATGCTGGTTTTCTCCAGATTAGTAACTATTAAAGTAAAGGACCGGACTTGTGTTATCAGCTGCCATATATTTTATTCCATTGCTAACTATGTAAATCAATGCAGTTTGATCGTTGTATTCAGACAAAAGTGCCCTTTCATTGTGGGTCAGCATGCTAATATGTTACCAAAAAATCAAATTGAGACCTGCTGAGTTGTGCCGTTGGCCAGAGCCTTTGAAATTGGGATGGCAGGGATGGAATGCTATGCAAATTAATGCTCCGCTGCTTCTCAGGTTTTCTGTTACAGATGGTGTATTGATACTCTGTATGTGTGTGTGTGACTGGGCCGTACTGGCAAAGAGGCCATCTGTCAAGTCCCATGTGTGTATAACCTGATCGAGCCAAACTCCACATCTGCAAAGTTTAGGTGTGTTAGCATGGCACCGGGATGTGTTGTAAAAGCAAAGCAGGGGGAGACTGACCCTAGACGGGCTCTGCCACTCAACTTCTGGGAGTCTGTTTGATGTTCTTATTCCTCCACATGGGCCACAGACAACCGCCTGGACGTTTGAGTTCACTGTTGGTTGATGCCTTCCAAATAACAGGCCTGGAAAACCTCCTTTTGCGCTGACCTTGCTGCTGTCATTATGTCCAAATCTGGATTGTTCCATGCATGTACCTTACTATTAGCAATCAGCGAAGAGATTAGCCCAAAATACACCCCATTCCAGTGGGCCGCTAGTGGTGCATGTTGTGGCTGAGAGAACCAAAGGAACCAAGCCAGGGTGGGGCTGTTTTCGGTCCTGGTTCGTGGAAGGGTATTTCTGAGCATGGTGGGTTTCAGCATATTTACACAAGTAGAATGAACGAGCAATCGTTCTTCCTACACAGACCTGCTTTTTACACGTACGCCCCGCGGTCCTGTCACCCACACAAAGCTGTAGTTCTCCCACGCTTCCTGACTGAAAGGGGCGGTTATGTAAAGGTATTGGGGCCCGAGTCCCAGACCACTTCGTATGCGAGGAGACCACATGTCGAGCAGTCTGTCTCACAAGCAGCACCTTGAACATTCATTAAGAAATCCTTAGCCGAGAGTGGCCGCATCCATTGTGGATTCTCTCTAATTGCTGCGCTGCCTCATTTGTATGCCTCTTTAAACACTCTGCCTACAAGGATTTACCCCCCTCATAAACGATGGTTTCCTGTCGGCGGAAAGGTGGTAGTTTGTTTGTTTTGATGTAACGGCTTTAACTAAAGAAGATGCGTGGAACATGACGTTGTTCTCTGATACAGATAAGGGGCTGGATTCATAAAAATCTTCTTAAGAAAGAGGTAAATTAATTTCTTAAGAGAAATTCTTGAAAAGTTTACAAATATTTTCTTAAAAGCATACAGGTTTGCAATGACAAGATTTTTGAGTGAACTATCCCTTTAATAAATAATTTTTTTTCGACCAGGGTTGAAGTACATTTTATTTCTTAGAATGCATTGCTTGTGTTGAATTTCTTTGAATTGCAGTTCAGTAAACCTCCTCCTGATATTCCAGTTCAACTTCCTGTGAGATTTGTCCAATTCTATTCAAATTCCAGCTCATGAACTGAAAGGGAGCCATTTCTTCAGTACAGAATTTTGCCCAATCCTGCTACAGAAGAACAGAATGTGCAAGACTAATGAGATGTGGGGCTGGAAACCTTCGTAAATGGGCCAGCTTTCACTTGAGCTGCGTGACTCCGTATCCCTCAGACTTAGGAAAGCATTTTCTGAGACAGTGCCAGAAATCCCTACCATAATGGATTACTGTTGACCACTTGATACAAAAGCTGAGGCCTTAAACCTTAAAGCAGTGGGCTAAGCCTGGCTTAATGTTTGCTCATTTGCACTGGTGAGAGCTGTGGGCCTTGTGCTTCAGGGGGAAGAGGATGATGCCAATCAGGCCGCGTGCCAACAGGTGCTCAGCGAGCTTGGGGCTGCGTTCAATAGGAAAAACGCCACAAAGCGCCTCAAGTGGAGGCTTAAGGTGAATCTCAACGCTCTTCACAGAGAATTCAAAACTGATGATTCTGAGCTTAGTCCACCAGCTGTGAAAGGCAGCTTAGTGCACAAATCACAGACCAGATAGAGGTTCAAATGTAAATCTTCATGCTTGAGGCACTGTTGTTAATGCCCAAACAATTGGAGCTCATGCCCTCATATTAGTTATGTTAATCTGTTAATGGTGAAGTCTGTAAGAATGTATCACAGCTAAAAGCAGATACAAAGCTTTTAAATAGAATTACTGTATTTTTTAACTTTTAATTGTTTAAACTAAACATATTATTGTCAGTAATAAAGCACCAAACAGCATTTCTCTATCTCAAAATCAGCCTTTTCTGTAACTATCATCCTAAAATAAGGTTAATTTTTTTCAGTTTGTGGAGTTAATAAAGCAAGCATAGCAAGGAAGTCGGTCAGGGTGCTTTGCAGTGACTATTCGGTATAGTGAGGTAGATTTGCGCTACATCTGTGTACAAATGATCAGTTCTGCAAACTGCATGTTGTGGCAGGCCATGATCAAGGACTGATGATCGCCTCTATCTTTCCGTGCTGGAAAAGAAAGCTGTATGTGCTTTCAAGTTCAGAAGCTTGATAAACACTGAAGTTGTTGTGCAGAGGTGTCATCGTTTGAAGTCCCGTGATCATGTTCCGTAGCTAGTTATCAAAAGACTGTTTGAACTAGTTACATTCCCCATCCATCATGAATGTTTGTCAGGAGTATAAATGGGTTTATCTTAGTGTTTTTGGGTGTATAGTGCAAAGTAACTAAGTGACTTTAAATTACAGACCATACAGAGAGTGGAAATACGATGGAAGCTTAACTAAGTGCTTGTTCTTGGTTATTGTGAATGTTTGATTGTGCATGTTTTTCCAAATAGCAACGTTTTGTTTTCAATCTTTGATCCATCCGTAATAACTTGCTCTCCCTTTGAAATGTGGGTAATTGGATAATGTTAACCGATGAGCAAATATAGAGATGGGAACTATTTTACCAAACTCCCATTTGGTCTGGCTTTATTCTATTATGTAATGGACACTTTTCATAATTCAGACAATTGCGATGAATTGTTGTACTTCCAAATTTTCCGCCACTGTTTCACTCTGAAATGTCAGATTATGGAAGAAAATGTGTTTCAAAAACATGTGCAGGCTAAAAAACCTACATGTTTGCAAGTCTTAAATTGACCAGGAACCACAGAAGAAGAAACTCTCTTCCTCTCACCATTTTTGTTTCCGTTTATCATCTTTGCTGTCTTAAATTTTCTTCTCCTCTTGCCTTTTCTTTATCTTTTTCTCCTCTCCATTTCTTTCTGCCTCATCTGCTTTTTATCTCCTCTAATGTAATATCCTTGTTCTGGCTTTGCTGTGGTCTATCTGACTCATGTTGGCCATGTAGAAGAAGGTGTTGTAGCTCTGACAGTCCGCTGAGTGTCTCATGCAGACCTGCTCTTCTCCGCATGGGGTGCTGAGCTGGGCTTATTTGTCATCTCTAGTGGAGGCACTTTTCACTATTTTTCCCAGTAGCCCACTCAGAGCTGTGAGCAAGAATGGCTACGGGACCAGACAAGAACATTGCTCAGAGTAAAACCATGTAACATAGAGAAAGACCAGGGCGATGTCTCTAGGTATGCAAATACTTTACTGCTAGATCATGTTTTCTTACGTGTGGTTGCATGCAGGCTTGCTGGACTGCATGTCTGGCTTGACAAACAATGAACGACTTCCTCTGTGGTTTCTGCTGTTTGAAAGAAAGGCTAGGTTAACCATCAAGTTCTTTTTTTGTGTCTGTCCTTGGTGTCTGCCTCTGTTAGTAACAACTGTTCTGTTTGGAGAGGTGATGAAAGCCCAGAGGCAATTTTCACTCAATCTACCTAATATCCGGATCAATTTTAATTCAGTTCGGTTTAGCTTGGCCTCCACCTCCAGCAAGAAACCACAAGATGATAGCAGCAAGATATAAACACCTTGAGAGTATTTTTGAAATTTTGGATGATATCATTGACCAACATCTAGTGTTTGGCTTTGCTTGGCCAATAGCATACTACTTTTTATAGTT